CATCACATACAACAATCCCATTTATGAATCTGTATCCAAAACATGCAACACAGGACCTGAAAGACATATCTGAACTTTCATGTTTGTTGTCCCACTATTCACAAAACCCAAAAGGCTGAAGCAACCCAGATGTTCCTTGAAGACATCAAAAAATGTAACATATACATACAGTGGAATATTATTGAGCCTTAAAAAGAAAATTGTGTCACATTTTAAGATAAACTTTGAGAATATTGTCTCCTGAAATAAACCAGTGACAAAATGATGGATACTATATGATTCCACTTATATGAGACAGTAGTCACACTGATCAAAACAGGAAGTTGAAGGGTGTTTGTCAAGGACCAAAGAGAGTAAAATGAACAGTTGTTACTTAATGGGTATTGAGTTTCAGTTTTACAAAATATAAAATTTCTAGAAGTTTTTAACATAACAATGTGAATATACTTTACATGTCTGAAATGTACAGCTTTTTTAAAATTCTTTTTTGCGACAGGGTCTCAATCTGTCATCCAAGTTGGAGTACACAATTTTGGCTCAATGCAACATCAAACTCTAAGGCTCAAGTTATCCTCCCCTCTCAATCTCTCTAGTAGCTGGGACCATAGGTGCACACCACCATGCCTGACTATTATTAAAAATTATTTGTAGAGAGGGTTTCATAGGTTGCCCAGGGTGGTCTCAAACATTTGGTTTCAAGTGATCTTTCTGTTTTGGCCTTTCAAAATCCTGGGATTACAGATGTGAGCCCCCACCATACCTGGCCCTGAAACATACACTTAAATAGATTTAAGATAGCAAATTTTATGTTATGTGTTTTTACAAGAATTCGTTTTTTAAAAGAAAAACTGAAAAAATACACAATTATAAATCTTTCCAAAAATTACCTTCAAATAACAAAAGTGTTTTTCTTATATAAGGAAAACATATATTCAGGCCAGGTGCAGTGTCTCACACCTGTAATCCCAGCACTTTGGGAGGCCAAGGTGGCAGATCACGAGGTCAGGAAATCAAGACCATCCTGGCTAACACAGTGAAACCTCGTCTCTACTAAAAATACAAAAAAATTAGCCGAGTGTGGTGGTGGGTGCCTGTAGTCCCAGCTACTCCGGAAGCTGAGGCAGGAGAATGGCATTAATCCGGGAGGCAGAGCTTGCAGTGAGCCGAGATTGCGCCACTGCACTCCAGCCTGGGTGACAAAGTGAGACTCTATCTCAAAAAAAAAAAGAAAAAAAAAAAAAAAACACCAAACAACAACAACAACAAAAATATACATTGTTAAAAACATATGGTGAAAAGAAGACTATTTCCATGACTACTCACTTAGATGAAACAACCATTGAAAATCATCTAAGAAAGAATATATACAAGATAAGCCATGACCAAAATTGAGGTCATATTTATAGACAATAACACACATATATATAATCTGATTGTGATAGACATGACTAACTTATCTCAATTAAACCTCACATTGTCTTAAAGTATACCAACAGAATTGCAAATTGTCTAAAATTATATGTAAGTAAAAAACAAAAAACACAATACACTGATGTTAAGAAACCTACAATAAAATAACACTAATCTGGAATGGCAACAATAATAGAAAATGTTTACTCGTAAACTATGGTATGCAACATTGATGTACCATTAAAAAAGAATTTATCAGCCAGGCGTGGTGGCTCACACCTGTAAACCCAGCACTTTGGGAGGCCAAGGCAGGCGGATCACAAGGTCAGGAGTTCGAGACCAGCCTGACCAACGTGGTGAAACCTCGTCTCTACTAAAAGTACACTGGGCATGGTGGCAGGTGCCTGAATCCCAGCTACTCAGGAGGCTGAGGCAGGAGAATCGCTTAAACCCAGGAAGTGGAGGTTGCAGTGAGCTGAGATCGTGGCACTGCCTGGGACACAAGAGCTAAAAATTCTACCTCAAAGAAAAATAAAATAAAATAAAATAACAGAAAAATTTGAACTAGCACAATAGAAAGTAAACTATACAGGGAAAGTGACATCAGTAAGATGCAAAAATAAAAGATGCCCTATTCGTTTATCCCCTCACAACAAGAAAATTTGTCAGCCATCCCTGACAAAAATGCCTCTATGGGAGAATCAGGCATCATGGCTCACACCTGTAAGGACAGCTACATGGTACATTAAGGTTGGAGAATCGCTTCAGGCAGGAATTTTAAGACCAGCCTGGGTTACGTAGCAACACTCCATCTTCAAAATAAACTCCTTTAAAGAATCTTTGAGATCCAGGGAGGAAGTTATGAAACTCTGCTAAAGTCCAAGATGGAGGAGTGTTTTTTCCAGGAGGCAGGCCCTCATTCATGAGGCAAACTACAGGACCCCTGTTCTTGGCTGCAGACCATGAAATGGCCCACCCAACTTGGTCTCACTGCGAATTCTGAACTTACTCTGCAATGATCCCAAACTCCTCCCCAGCCACAGTCTGGGAGAGGTCCTGCCCTTCCAGAGGCTTGGAGGAAGACACACATTTATAGCCATGTGGACAGGCCTGCAGACCTGGGGTTTTACTATGGTCCCTGAAGCAGTTCAATGACTCAGTTCCAGCTCCCTGAGCTACAGCTCATGGCCAGTTCTGCCTACATAGAAATCCACACAGTGACCTGGGAAAATCCTCTCTGGTACTCAGTGAAATCCAGACTCATCCATATCCTAATAAAAGGCCCACCATATATAGACCCAACTGCAAAAACCTGCCCTGGTGTATTCCCCACAAAGCAAAGTCCTGAAAGATTCAGTCTGTCCAAAAATATAATGGGAATTACAACTACCCAAGCTCCTTGTAACAGCCAACTAAAGGTGGACCCTAGAGCAGACCCAGCATCCTTGTGAGCAAGCTACCTCTCCACTACAAACCCAGAGGGCAACCCATCACTCTGGGGGCCAACATAAAGAGATCTTTACCCCCTGAAACCAGGTTATAAAGACTTAAAGAAGTGTTTGTTTCTTCAAATTCACAGACACCAATGCAAAACTATATTGTGCCACTGTCAATTGCTTCTATTTTAACATAGCACTGGAAGTATGTATTAGAAGAATTAGTTCAAAAAAAAAAAAAAAAGAGGCTAGGCGTGGTGGCTCACACCTATAATCCCAGCACTTTGGGAGGCCGAGGCGGGTGGATCACAAGATCGAGACCATTCTGGCTAACATGGTGAAACCCTGTCTCTACTAAAAATAGAAAAAACTAGCCGGGCGTGGTGGCAGGCGCCTGTAGTCCCAGCTACTCGAGAAGCTGAGGCAGGAGAATGGCATGAACCCGGGAGGCGGAGCTTGCAGTGAGCCTAGATCGCACCACTGCACTCCAGCCTGGGCAACAGAGCAGACACCGTCTCCAAAAACAAAAACAAAAAAGAAAGAAAGAAAGAAAGAAAAATAGCCATTGAAATTGAGGACAAATAAGTAAAAAGTTGCTGTTGCTGTTGTAAATCATATGATCTTATCTTTTAAAAACCACTAGTACATGAAAACCTGTTTAAACTAATAAATACTGAGTAAATTAGCAAAATGTAAAATTAACATATGGTTTCATACACTTAAACTATCTGGTAAAATAGAGGAAGAAAACAATCTTATTTACATTAGCATTAAATCATAAATTTCTGAGAAGAAATTTAACCAAGCTGGTAAAAAATCTTTTTTGACAGTTTTGCTCTGTTGCCCAGGCTGAAGTGCAGTGGGGTGATCTCAGCTCACTGCAACCTCCACCTCCCAGGTTCAGGTGATTGTCCTTCCTCAGCTGCACCAAGTAGCTGGTGCACACCACCATGTCCAGCTTATTTTTTGTATTTTTAGTGAAGACGGGGTTTTGCCTTGTTGGCAAGACCAATCTCGAACTCCTGACCTCAAGTGATCCACCCGCCTCAGCCTCCCAATATGCTGAGATTACAGACGTGAGCAGCCATACCCAGCCTAAAAAATCTTCACAATGAAAGATATATCAATGAAAAAAATTAAGACACAAATAAACTTAAAAATATTTTACATATATGGATTCAAAGAATAAATACTGTTAAAGTGTCATTTATCCAAAGTGACCTACAGATTTAATAAACTTCCTATCAAAATTGCAATGGTATTTTATTTACAGTAATGGAAAATACAATCCTAAAATTTACATGAAACCACAATAAACTTTTAATAGCCCAAGCAATCTTGAGGAAAAAGAACAAAGTAGAAGGTCATCATACTTCATAATTTCAAACTATATTTCAAGGCCATAGTAATAAAAACAGGATTTTATGTGCAGAAAAATTAAGAAAAACCCAATGTAATAGAAACTACTCCCACATATTTCAGACACAATGCAAAAAGAGAACTTGAAAAATAGTTTAACATAGTTTCTCAAAATTATGCAGATATCTGTGTGTCCCCAAAAACAATGGAAAAGCAGTAAGATTGTGCAGTCTCCTATATGCCATGAAGAGGACTTTAGCTTTCACCATAAACTTGAAGGAAAAATCACTGAAGGGAAAGTAGAATCCTTAGAGAATTTAAAAGCATAGACAGAATATGCTCCTATGTGAGAGCAAAAGAAAAAAAAAACCAGTTCCCCAGAAACAACTTCTTTTGAACACAGCTTCCCAAATCACATCTTTTTCTTTTTTTGAGATGGAGTCTCACTCTGTCGCCAGGCTGGAGTGCAGTGGCACAATCTTGGCTCACTGCAACCTCCGCTTCCCTGGTTCAAGTGATTTTCCTGCCTCAGCCTTCCGAGTAGCTGGAACTACAGGCACATGCCACCATGCCCAACTAATTTTTGCATTTTTAGTAGAGACAGGGTTTCACCATGTTGGTCAGAATGCTCTCAATCTCTTGACCTCGTGATCCCCCCCGCCTCCCAAAATGCTGAGATTACAGATATGAGCCACCGCGCCTGGCCCAAATCACATTTTAAGAACTGGCTTTCTCCTTGACCTTTAAGACCTGTCATCTGTGTCATCTGTTATATTCACTGTCACTCTCACCTACCTGGGGGTTTGGCTACCATCGCATGTCTCTTCATATTGCAGGGCTCTTTTCCTTGCTCCAGACAAATGATCAGGTCTGGCTTGGAGACAGCAATACCTGTTTTATTAAAAATAAGTAACATGAATCTTGCTCATATTCTCCCATTATCAACCTAGTAATGTGCTCAGTAAAGAGGATGTAATTATTCTAGTAAACTAATCCCAAAATATCTAATAACATAAATTTCTAAATATTTAGAAAATATTTTAAATTTGTATGTTCTTAATTTCACTACTCAGTACTACTGCATCATTGGTGGTGGCAATTAGATTTTAAGGTGTAGGCAACTTTTATGCCACTAAATTTTTGGAATTATCATTAATCTAGAGTGAAGGATACAGAGTAGCTCAGGAATGAGGAAAGTTCAGGTCAAGATGAAACATCTTGAAGAGATTTATTTCTAAATGAACAAATCCCCAGGATTTTCTTGAAAACAGGGATCTAAAACTTATTTATGCAACAGGGATCTAAAACTTATTTATGCAAAGCACAAATTTCCAAAAAAAAACCTTCTACAGAAAGGAGAAACGAAACCTTTAAATTATGTATTAAAATTATCCTCACCCAGGAAGACCAGGTTTCTGTAGTTATCTAACATCACATTCCTATACAAATTCTGCTGTGAAGTGTCCAGGCATTGCCACTCCTCCAGAGAGAATTCTATGGCCACATCACTAAATGTCAGTGGTCCCTGAAAAACACACACACACACAAACATATTTACCAACTTGCCCTGGACAGAATTTTTAATTTGACTCAAGGTGGAATGGGAAAGTAAAGAGAACTGGTTTTTACTTATAGGAGTGACTAAAATTATCCAATAAAATAATTTTCAAAACAGAAATATTCTCAAATGTATTCTCCAACTCTGAGAAAAGAGTGGCAGAAGATCCACAATAGCAGTTTATATATGATACGTTTCTAGATAATAAAGTATAGAATTAATGACACAAACACAAACATGTACATTTGTGCGTGCTATATTTACATCATACAGAATGAGCTGTGTATATTTTTCAGATAGAAAGAAATGTTGTGTTACAAGCTAGCTTTAAAATTTTAATGTGTACAATAATAAACTGGAGATCTTGTTATGCAGATTTTCTTTCCAGAGGATCTGGAATAAAGTTTGAGTTTCCAAATTTTTAACAAGCTCACCAGTAATGCCAATGTTTTTGGCCCAAGAAGAATATTTTGTCAAACATCCAGTAAGTGGAAGAGCCTGTGTTTTTCCCAGATTTTCTGGCCTGTAAACAAAGATGAGAGCCTTTATTTTCCAAAGACAAATATATACAAAGGAAACCTAAGAAAGAAGGGCAGCTTCCAGATTAAATGTGATGGTTTACGCACATCAGCTGCATAAAGATACTTAATAAAGAAGAGAAAAATAACTCTATAGTAAGAAAAATAAATGTCAGGGAGCTCTTTTATTTTACTATACATAAGTTCTGGGTTACATGTTCTGTTACATAGGTATACCAAATGAATCACTAATGTCAACTGAACTAGCACAAATTTGTATGATGTGCTGAGGCACACAGAAAAACACAGCATCGTTGCTTCAACATTGCCCCTCGCAAAAGCAAATTATAGTCTGAATGTAACCATACATAAACATCAGTTTTATGCCCTCTTTAAGATACAGATAACTCTTATGTTGTTATTTTGTGTGTGTGGTTTTGTTTTTGTTTTTGTTTTGAGACAGTTTTGTTCCCTTGCCCAGGCTACAGTGCAATGGTGTAATCTTGGCTCAGTGCAACCTCCGCCTCCCTGATTCAAGCGATTCTCCTGCTTCAGTCTCCCAAGTACCTGGGATTACAGGAGCCGGCCACCATGACCAGCTGATTTTTTTTTTTTTTTTTGGTAAAGATGGAGTTTCACCATGTTGGCCAGCCTGGTCTCGAACTCCTGTCCACCTCAGCCTCCCAAAGTGCATGGGATTACAGGCGTTAGCCACATACCTGGCTTATGTTGTTATTTTTAATAGTAATTTTAAGTAGTCTTTAACACCATAGACAGCATTTTCTCCTAATATATTTTTTTTGGAGATACAGTCTCACTCTGTTGCCCAGGCTGGAGTGCAGTGATGCAATCTCTGATCACTACAACCTCTGCCTCTCAGGCCCAAGCGATTCTCCTGCCTCAGTCTCCCTAGTAGCTGGGACTACAAGCATGCGCCACCACACTCAGCTAATTTGTGTGTTTTTAGGATAGATGTTGGCCAGGCTGGTCATGAACTCCTGGTCTCAGGTGATTTGCCCACCTCAACCTCCCAAAGTGCTGGGGTTACAGGCGTGAGCCACCATGTTTGGCCATCTCTGAGTAAATTTTTTTTAATAACTTTTTGGGTAATAAATGTTATCCTGTTTAAATAAGCATTTTGTTAATTCTGTTTTGCATAGAGCTAATGGAGAACACAAATGGAACCCCAACATTACATGTTCTCCATATTTACAAATGACCCCAGCTTGTTGGGAACAGGCCCCCCAAAATCTGGCCATAAACTGGCCATAAACAAAATCTCTGCAGCACTGTGACATGTTCATGATGGCCATGACGCCCACGCTGGAAGGTTGTGGGTTTACCGGAATGAATATCTGGCCCACCCAGGGCGGAAAACCGCTTAAAGGAGTTCTTAAACCACAAACAATGGCATGAGTGATCTGTGCCTTAAGGATGTGCTCCTGCTGCAGATAACTAGCCCAACCCATCCCTTTATTTCAACCCATCCCTTTATTTCCCATAAGGAATACTTTTAGTTAATCTATAATTTATAGAAACAATGCTTATCACTGGCTTGCTGTCAATAAATACATGGGTAAATCTCTGTTTGAGGCTCTAAGCTGTGAAGGCTGTGAGACCCCTGATTTTCCACTCCACACCTCTATATTTCTGTGTGTGTGTGTCTTTAATTCCTCTAGTGCCGCTGGGTTAGGGTCTCCCCAGCCAAGCTGGTCTCGGCACCAGCTTTTCCCCAACAGGAATTTTGAGTATCCACAGCCACAAAGGAAACATTTTTAATGTTGCATATCGCAAATTCATGGTGAGAATTCTGCATGGACTATAAGAAGCCACGATGTAGAGAAAGTACAATAGGCTCTGGTATATAGGAAAGGAGTATTTTTCAGAGACCCTTGACTATCATAAGAACTTTTTAAAGTAGTTAAAATAAACTTATTTGGGAAGAAAACTGCAAGTAGAGAAGCAAAGGTTCACAAGTGCTAAACGCATGGCATTCCAGGAGGAAGAGTGGGCATGATCTGAGACATGTTTAGCTAAGAAAAAAAAAGGCCATTTTTTCCTCTTTTCTCCTCCTTCTCTGGGATTCCTTCTCAGATGAGATTCTCTGGACAAATTACACTGCATCTTGAGAATATGCCTTTGAAGTGTCAGCACCACCTGTTTACCTGCTAGCACCACACCTACAGGCAGATGACAAGAAAAAGTCCAAAACAGATAAAGTCCACCCATTTCTGTTCTTTATAACAGCAAAGATTCAGGAACAATGAGCTGCTCCACAGATAAAAATAAAGTTTCTCTTTCTCTGTTCTCAGGTGCCCTCCCTTGCCACAGACACCAGCAATTTCTGCTACAGTAATGGCAATATGGGCTGCACGGTCCTGTTCCTACCAAATTCAAACAGAACTGGCCCTGTGACCACCCTTTAGTACAAAGGCAGAAATTAATTCTTATGAATGTATTTTGAACCCCTCATAGCTGATTCTGTTCTCACTCTAGAATCACCTGAGGCACTCATTAGGTTGGTGTGAAAGTAATTGTCGTTGCTGCCAATTTCTTTTTAATGGCAAGGAAAAAGAAATAAAAATAATAAGTAATAATAATAGTTGTTCATTTGTTTTTTTAACAGCAGAAGCAGACGAGGTGCAGTGGTTCATGCCTATAATCCCAGCACTTTGGGAGGCCAAGGCGAGTGGATCACCTGAGGTCAGGAGTTCAAGACCAGCCTGACCAACATGGCCAAACCCCATCTCTACTTAAAAAAAAAAAAAAAAAAAATTACCAGGACATTGTGGTGCATGCCTGTAATCCCAGCTACTGGGTAGGCTGAGGCAGAAGAATTGCTTGAACCCAGGAGGCGGAGGTTGAAGTGAGACAAGATCGAGCCATTGCACTCCAGCCTGGGCGACAGCAAAAATCTGTCTCAAAAACAAAAAAAGGCGAAAACAACAATTACTTTTGTACCAATCTAATAATTAAAACAACATGGATGCTTCCACCAAGGACATTAAACAGAACTTGCGGAAAGGGCACAAGTAAAAAGATTTCTGCAAATTGGCCATTTAATCCTCATTAGAAGCCTGAGTTGATAGCCACTTAACTAAGCATTGCTTCTCAGACTTTAACGAGCTTATAAATCACTTGGTGATTTTGGCCCCACTCTATGTAATGTGATTCTGCAGGTTTGGAAAGGGACCATGAATGGGAGTTTTAAACAAGTCCTTGTCAATGCTGATGTTGCTCCCCTTAGGCTCATTATTAGCACTAGTTAGAGGAACCAGGCACAGCAAAGTGTAGCTTATACTCAGCACTCTTGTCACAACACAAATGAAGACAATCCATCTCCACCCTAAAGTATCTTCTTTGCTGTCTCTTTAAAGTTTACAGATGAAATAGAAGGCAGCAATGTCTGAATAAGTCTGCATTTGGAAAACAGCACATACACATGTACTCTGCAATGTTTATTAAGCAGACACTGCGTTCACTGTATTCTCACTCTCAAGAGTATGTTACACAGCGCTTCACTGGGAATAACACATTATGTGATTGAATCCTCATAACACCCTGGGAACTAGCACTAAATGTTCAGTAATTCCCAGGATTTAGATGAAGGACCCAGTATTTTTATTTCTTCTTCTGTTTCTCTGTCATTGATTTTTTTAAAAATGTACAGAATAAAAACAAAATACAGACAGATGAAAGAGACACAGAAAGGAAAATTTCAATCTAGTTTAAAGGAATTTTTATTGTGTTTATATTTAGTTTTTTGTGATTTGTGAAACAACCACTGCATCTGCAGGAATAGAAAACAAGTTGCTGTCCGGGTGCCCGGGTGCGGTGGCTCAGGCCTGTAATCCCAGCACTTTGGGAGGTCAAGGCAGGTGGGTGGAACACCTGAGGTCAGGAGTTCGAGACTAGCCTGGCCAACAGGGCGAAACCTCATCTCTACTAAAAATACAAATATTAGCTGGGCATGGTGGTGTACACCTGTAGTCCCAGCTACTCGGGAGGCTAAAACAAGAGAATCGCATGAACCCACAAGGCGGAAGTTGCAGTGAGCCAAGATCACACCACTGCACTCCAGCCTGGGTGACACAGAGCGAGACTGTCTCAAAAAAAAAAAAAAAAAAAACTAAAATGAACCCTGAGTCAAAAAGAAAAACAAAGGATTTAGCTGTTCATATGATTTACATACATTTCAAAAAAGCAGAAAAATATCTACATATAATCTAAATGCTTTAAAAAAACAGAGAAGAGCAAAATATTCTCCCTTATTTTCAGGAAACAGAGTAATAAAGTCTCTTATTTCTAATTTATATTTTCTCCTACAACAGCCAGGCCTCTGGACATACTCTTGAACTCTTGGACATCTGAACTCAGTAGATAACTGGATTCTGGCATCTAAGCAGTAACCTTGGGCACACTATGTGCACTTTAAAGAATGTTTATGGG